GCCAAAACTTTTGCAGAAATTGTACAGTACAGGGCACAGGATCTGTAGTCAAAGACCATGGATTATTTGTCACCACCTTCAAGTGACTGGACACTGGCAAAAACTTTGCTGGGAATGACCCCTAGTGCACTACCATATAGCCCAACTCACTCTGTGGGACTCCAGTTTTTGCTAATGTACTTAGGTGAAGACTTCTTTTATTCTGGAGGAGTTCCTACAGCAGTTCTTTTAATTTTTCTTCAATACTTTGACTGACAGTTCTATCAAGATTCAACTGCCTATTGCCGCAGGTCTTTCTAGCAGTTTCCAGATCAGTTGCCCTTGATATATCTCTTAGGATCCATACCAGGGCCTGGATAAGGTAAGACAGGGTTTCCCTGTAAATTGTCCTGTTTTACATTTAGACTGTTATTCACTTACTGTGTTATCCCACTATGTAAATGTCTTTAATACATTGTTGGAAAGTAATGTTTATCTTTTTGAATTTGGTGGGTTTTTTCCCAAATGCAACATTGTCAGCCAGAAGGCATTTGCAAGCATCACACTTTCACCTGCCATTTCTGCCGAGATTGCAAGAAGTATATCTGCAAAACATGTGTGATTTGTTTCATTACGAATTGAAATTTCAGATTACCTATTATGGCTGGTGTGAAAGCAGTTACCTCAGCACTTTGGAGGAAGGCCAGGATATGTGGAATAGAATACTCCCGTCTACAGTAGTCTAAACAAGCATCTGGCTCTTGATACTCTAAAGGGACATGTTTCTTCCTTAACAAGAGTGTGTCAAGCCAAAAGTCTTTGGAAATGAATGGTTAAGACCATTATACAAGGTATTGCTCATGTTAATTTGCCACTTTGACCTCTGACTTTTCCCTGGATTCTAAATCTGCTTCATGTGGGTGTGATAGTGCTGGACTTATAGAAGTGAAAATTGGTTTTAATGGTTATACCCTAAAGTGATTTTTCCTTCAAAGAAGCAGATCCATGATTGAAATATAGTATGGGTGGACCCTGTCCTGATCCTAGGCAGCTTCTTTTTGATAATGATAAATTTAGCACTCTCCAGGCAGTAAATTCTTAAATGTGTATGGAGGAAAGCCTAGTACAAAAGTTCATATCACTTAAACTTGAATCAAGATGACAAAGCTGCCATCTAATCTTCTGTTCCTGCCTTCTCAAGGTTTTACTGGTTGGATCAACAGGCATTTGCTGATGTAGGCTTCGGCTGCAAAGTGCTTCAAGCTGTCATCTGACAGTTTTGGGTCCATTGACCCTTATTTTCATGTGGGCCTGTTTGCCGCTGTTTGCTTTATTGCTGCCCACTCCTCAGTTAATTGCTTGGGGATGTCCCATGGTTTATGATTACAGATCCTGTGTCCTGTACAGTACAATTAAAAAAAATGGGAAATCTGATTTTCGTAGAAATTTCATGTCTTGGAGTACAGTACAGGACACAGGCACCTCCTCGTTCTCATTTTCTCCTTCTTCTGTGCTACAAAAACTGGAGTACCATGAAGTGAATGGAAGGGTTCTTAGCAAAGCTTTTGTTGATGTCAAATTACCTGAAAGTAGCAGCATATAACACATGATTTATGACTACAGATATGGAAGTTACAGATAATCTAGAATCTAAAAAAAATTTAATTTTGAATTGAGGACTAAAAAAAAATTATCTTGTCAATTTTGTTACTGCTCTCTGTCATCCTGTTGCAGAGTTTTCCCATAATTGTTTTTGTTCTTACAGCATAATGTGTTTTCCTCCCTTTTTTTTTATTAGGGGCATGGTGGGGAAAGTAAAAAACAGCTGAGCACTGTCTTTGATGCTTTTCTGTTCAACAACAGTTAATTTTTCAGGAAACTCTTTTGGAGGCCTACCTTCTTTGTCCAAGTAGTACTGATACATGTTAAAGCAGACCTTCCCCTTTTAGGGAAAGTTCTACTTGTTTGCCTCCTCCCCCCCCCTTCCTTGCCACATTTGGCACTTTTTGGGGGAGCTGGTTTTGACAGATACCCTTTCCCACTTTCTGTCAGATGCGCTGCAGCAATCTAAGCCAAACGTTTGGCCCATCTCCTTCCCCTGCAGCCTCCTGGGTCACTTCACAGGTCCCAGAAGACTGTGGAACCATTCACAAAGCACAGCACGTCTCCTGTTTTGGTGACCATGTTGTATCAGGGTATAGGAAGTGAAGAGAAGAGCTTCACACAGCAATGAGGACATGAAAGAAGTTCCAATCCTCATCACTGTGTCCAATACAAAAAAAAAATAAAACAACTTTGTCTGGACATATTGAATGGTCTGGTCAGGCTTTACACAAATGTGTATACCCTGCAGTGAACTGTCTTGTGTGCTTCTGAAGTAATGGCAATTATTTAATTATATTTTCTAGGTTTTAATTTGAATACATTTTAAGAACACACCTGTCAGAGAGAGACGTACATGTTATGTCATTGCTGCCTTCCTTCTGAAAAATGGTAGCTACCATGCTGCATATGTTTTTGTGTCACATGTGCCAATGATGAGTGAAATTAAATCTGAAGTTTAATCTGTTTATATTTTGTCTTCCCTCATTCCTCCTTTCCCCCCACATTAACATGCTAAAACACTTCTCTCTACATACCAGAACTTGTTTTAGACCCAGTGACATTATCTGTACTTCTTTATGCAGTGTAGACAGATTTCGGTAGGGGCCAGCAGGGTGCTATAGCTAGCTTCCTGAATACAGGAAGTTGTGGCAATGCCCACGTGTAAAGCTGAGCTTCCATGACTGCAAGAACCTAAATGCAATAAATGAAAGGACCAAGGACAGTTTGGCTGGGGAGCAAAGAGCTAGATGATGATGCGTGTCCTCCAGCCAGCAAACAAGGCAGCCTCTATCTGACTTGCTGTAGTGTCTGATTTCACTGCATGTTGTTAACTTCCCATAATTTGCATTAGAGTAAGCTATTTCAGTATAGGAGAGGAACCTGTACAACTGTGCAAGATAAAAGGTAAAACTGGAGCTCAGCTTAAAGCTCCACAATAGCTAAATGCATATCATTGTTGTTTGCCACTATGGAGAAACGTATGTCTAGAAAATATATCAGCTAATGCCTATCATTTAATGGGCACTCATGAATCATAATTGCATTCAAAAGGTCTCTACTAATAAATCATTGTTTAGAATTGCAAATTTTTATTAAGCCTCTATGAGAAGACTGTGCAGAATAGTCAGCAGGAGACAGTGTGGATGATAGTGCATAGTCTTATCTGATGCTAATATGGTATTTATGAAACTGGTAAAGCGTACTTGGCCTTATTTATTAAGTTGTTTGATGGAAGATCTGTGCTGTTCCTATAGGGAAAACACACAATCATTTTGAAATTTACACTGGAAATTGAGATGGCAAAAAAGCAGGAAAATTCTATTTTGCTGAAGGACAATAACGACTGTTCTTCTATCAGAATTTATTGCAGGCAGGGAAAGTGATCTTTTCATGAGCAACACAGTGAAGTTCAGTAAAATAAAGTTTTTGTTAATTGCCATCTCCTTTTTTTCCTAGGTCTCATTTGCACCAAGATTGCAAAGTAGAGCCCAGTGTACCTTGCAACCTGCTGAAATACCAGAGCTAATTTAAGCCACTCGTAACCCAAACAGTCATTAATTATTTGATTGACTAAGTTCCTTTTGGAGACCTTGCCCCTCTGTCACTGCTATAGGAATATGGTAAAATGTCACCAATGGAGACAGAAATTACCTTTTTATAAGATGAAACATGGTCCTGTTTTTACCAGTCTGTGTCCCACAAGTATTTTTATGCTTCTTGTCCTAGCGACACCATGGGGAATATTTGTGAAAACTGGTGCACTCAGAACTTGGTGCAGCTGTGTATGGTAACCAATCAGCTTCTAACTTTAGTTTGTTCAATTAAGCTTTGGCAATAAAACCTGGAAGCTGATTGGAGCATGCAGAATCTGATGCAGCTCTGCATAGAAACCAGTTTTGTGTATCAGGATATAACAAAGTGTCACTAGAATCTCCCCTGCATGGACACACCAAGGCAATTTAATCTGACAGGTTAGAGTAGGGATGGGTTCTGGCTTCTAAGTTAAAAAAAAAGAGCTAGAGTTGGGATTAACTTTACCCAAAACTGAATTTCTAGCTCTGAATTTAGTTTGCGGTAATATCTAGTGAGTGATGCATCAACCAGCAACATATGTAGTATTTCCATTTATAATTCTTGCCCAGGAGATCTTATTAAATTGCACCTTTTAAATGTGTTTATTTTTAACAGTGTTTCATACTGGTTATTAAACTGTTTTCAAAAAAAAAAAAAAAAAAAAATCATGCTTCCAGTATGTATACAGTGATGACAATGTTGTGCTTGAATGACATAAAACAGCCTGGTGTGCAAAAAATAACCCTGCCAGAGACTTACGAGTCTGAATATCTCTCTAGCACTGAAATATTTCACTACTATGTAGAATTCGTTGTGCATTTTTATTGGCTGAAAATCATGGCCATGTGACAGGTTCAGATGGGGCCCACAGACCCTTACCACAATCCCTTCTTTACAAATAAATGCTTTTAGAATGTGCTATGATAATTGCATAATTAGAAGTCTAAAAAGTCACTATACTTAATTTTTTTTTTTTATTTGTTTCAAATGTACTGAAATTTTTTTTTAAATATATAGAAATACTCAAGTCTTCGAATACTGTATTTAAGTCCGTCAGATTGCGACGTCTAATCTAAAATATTTATAATGTGTTTTTGTTTTGCCTGACGTAGCAAGAAAACATTTACACTGTAGTTCTTATAACTATGTTGGAACTAAAAAAGAAAAAGTAGATATCAATACTTTTGTTGTTGTAAACAAATTGTTCCAGTAGAAAACTGAGTAAATCTGCCACTGCTTAAAAGCATGTTTTGGCACTCCTGTGGCATGAATTTAGGTTCTTTAAAACTTTTGAGAGCTTGAACAGCAGAAAAAAAAACAACAGGTCTATGTTTTACATTGTACTACCAGATATCACTGGAAATGCCAAGCTCTCTTGAAGTGATTGGTATCAGAGTATTGTTGCCGTGGTACTCCTGCGGGTCTTTGCCCACACTGTTGTGGCTCAGCTGTCCATTGAGCAGCGTTAATGGTATGTTGCAATATGTATGGTGATTACCTAGAGGTGCTACTGACAAAGGTGGAGCTGGTTTCTCATAAACTCTGCAGAAATGTCTCATTTGCATGGCCTCTGCATGATGGTAACCTGTAATTTCTTGAGGTGGTGCCAGCGTGCTAGATGTCCCTGTTATGGCAATGGAGGGTACAGTTTGCAGGTCTCCAAAAAGACTTCGCTCCCCACTATCCATGACATGCTGCCTAGATAGCACTTCTTTCTTTTTTGTGGGCATTTCATAGACTAAGCGCTTCCAAAATTTTGAATTGAGTTTGCTGCTTTTTGGACCATCCCACTTAATGAGTGACTGATGTTTGATGGCGTGTTTTAGTGATTCCACCTCTTGATAGTTCACTTTTCCCTCAGGTTGGTGCATTCTATTATTATGACTTTAATTTCACCACTGGTCAACATGTTATGGAGTCTGCTGTCCAGCACAAAAATACTCCAGCCTCTTCTGATGACGTAATCTGGCGTTAGCACTATAATTAACCTTCTACTTTGCTCCACACATCTGGCAAGGTCTTCCATATATGCTGCAAGAAAACAATTGGACAGTGTTATTTTATAACTGGCTAAGTGTTTTTTTTTGTTTTTATAAATCCATACTTTTGCTTTAATACCATATGATTCGATTAACTGTTATTTAAAGAGACTGTGACACCTAGGAAAGGAAGGACATCTAAACAATATAACTCTTTTGAAAACCAGCTTAAAAATACCCACCCATGCTTGAGATCTGATAGTTAATATAAAGCAAAAATGAAAGGAAGCAATGGGTTGCATCTGGCTCAATGTTTGCTGGCTACCTGCTTTCTCACCACTACTTTTGAAGCTTAGCCCTATGCAGCCCATGTTCATTAATTGTATATCCCTCCTTGAACACAGCTCTGCTTATTTTAAAGTGGAGCTCTCGTCTCCCCTGAAAAAAATGAAGTCAGCAGCTACAAACCGTCATGTTCTCACTCAAGCCAATTCTACAATTGGCTTTGGGTGCAGGCACCATCATCTTAGGTAAGGGAAGGCTTTACTGCCGGTTTCCTACTGCGCATGTGCGAGCCACAGTGTGCTTTGTGATTGATCCCACATGTATTGATGACCTGTATTTGTTCCCAGAAAGCTGCAGGGGGAAAGAGGAGGGGCCGAATGTCCTCCCATATCACTGTGGTGGTTTGACCCAGAAGTGTCAAAACCAGGTACCCACTCCCCCAAAAATTGTCAAATGTGGCAGGTTGGTGGGGGGGGGTGCAAACAATCAGAACTTTCCCTTTTGGGTGAAGTTCCACTTTAATTGTTTCAAACACAAAGTAGTTAAAGAAAATACTTCTGTTATCACTTTAGATATGCACACTTGTCATCATATTAGTTTATAAGGCTGGAAATATTTCTCTTTTTTGTGACTACAGACTGGATACTTTACAACCCAGTCTTTAATTATTTTACACAAAACATACACAGAAAAGGTAGATTGCAGGAAGGACGGAATGTGAGACACCGAGTAATCTCTGGGACTGAACCAACTGCATACACACCAGACAAAAAAAGATTTCCAGGTATCATCTTGAATCTTCCTGAAAGGGGCCTTTCTTGCGTTCAACAAGGTAGGAATCAGGCTCAGAAATCTCTCTATCCTTTTAGACCTGGGTTTTAACAACCATGTGGTTAAAGACAATGACTGAGCTGCAAGATGGAATAGAGGACCTTGAAGAGGTAGATCTGGCCTTTTGAGAAGAGGCCAAGGGGTGGTCTGCTAGAAGTCAGAGTATGTCTGTGCCAAAGACTTCCTCACTGTTAGAGGCTGGGGTGGTGATCCACCAAAATAAGGAAGTGGATATGAGCTTAGTTAAGTTCAGGAAAAGAGTTTGCTTTTTCCATGCCAAGAACATGTTTTGTTGGATGGTTCTTAAATTGAACTGGGAGAGAGGCACTGCCTTGAATGAGGTGACCATTAGGCATAGAACTCTCTTGAAGAATCTCACTATGGGATTCCTCTTGAATCTCAGTTCTCAAACATGAATTTTCTTTTCAGGAAGAAGGGTTTCATCCTGGGCACATCCCATGTGAAAGTCTAAGTACTCCAGGCAAAGAAAAGTTTGGAGGGCAGATTTTTTTTTTAAATAATCAGTTGAATTTTCTGGACATTTTCTGACAACTGACCAGGAGATAAGTACTTCTAAAAGAAGGCCATTTAGATAGCACCTCTGCTGGCCCTAATCAGGACCCAAGGAATTTAAGTCATAGGCTAAGACCTTTGTGAACACTCTGGGAGAAGAGGACAGACTGATGGACAGTGCGAAAAACAAAAGTGATTTTCTGCCACTGTGAATAGCAGAAAGCACTGATAAGGTAGGCAATTAGACATCTTGAACATTCATTGATGTCGGGTATTCCCCATACCTCAAAGAGGCAATTACCGACCTTGCAGAATTTTGGATTTTGAAGAAATCTGTTGAGGGGTTTAGGTCCAAAATAGGGCAAAAATATCCCTGTTGGGGTTTGGTACCATGAACAGGTTTGAATAGAAACCTTTGGACCTTTCTTGTGGAGGTACTGGGACAATGACTTCCTGGGACAACAGGTGATTTGGGGCCTTTTGCAAATTTGAATTTCCTTGGGCAGTCTTTGGTTGATTTGAAAGAAGAAAGCAGTGAGGGGGGCACAGGTTTGAACTCTATATTGTACCCTCTTAAAACCACTAATTCAATCAAGCAATCTGGAATACCTGTGGTTCCGTGAGAGAAAAAAAACTATTAGTCCCCCCCACTCTTAGGAGTGGTGACGGCTCTTCCTTGTGAAGAGGACTTTGAGGAAGGCTTTATGGCTTTGCATGCCAAGCCTTGTGCCAAAAGAAGGGCTAAACTTAGGCTTTAAAGCTGAAGTAGGGTAGAGCGGACAGTGCTGTGTGCTTTTAGAAGCTAGGTGATCCTGAGTAAGAGGTCTTTGGAATCTTCCTTTTGTAGAAGTAAAACCTCTTTTCTCCAGTGACCTCTTTAATAAATTGGTCAAGTGCCTCACCAGACAGGCATCTTTCTTGGTAGGGCATATGAATGAGGTGCCTTTTGCAGACACCTTTTAGCTGTCAAAGCTTTAAGCCATAGGATTCTGCTTGTGTGAATCAATATACAGTAAAAGCCAGTCTGGAAATTTGTCTCATAACATGTTCTAGGGTATAGGCACACAAAAATGCAGAGCAGAAGGCAATTTCTGTAATTGTTCTGTAACAGCATGATCCTAAAATATAAGATCATGCTAATTGTTCATTTTCCTTATCCAGTTAGCTGCAGTTTGACATACTGAAATGGCAGCAAGACCTGGTTGTGGTGCCTGCAAGGGTAAACAGTCATTCTGAGATCTTAAACTTTCCATCTGCAGAATGGAAAAAACACAGGAATAGCCCACTTTTTTGCAAACTCTTTTTCCGCTGGAAAGAGAACAGTAAAGACTTTGGGGGAGTGAAAACTCCTTCTGGAGTGATCCAGTTATCATAGGCTGCACATTCTATCTGCTCGTGAACAGGGAATGTTTTGCAAGATTTAGTGGGTTTCTTTGTACCAAAACCTGCATGACTTTTCATTGTTGGCATAGCAAGCATGTTGCATGAAGCTCCATCCTTTAACATGATTGGAGGAAACTGTGGAAGATTTCTCTTCCCCAGACTTTAATGTTCCCTTAATATCCTCTTCATTCTGTTGTGTGTCTGCATCCTCTAGAACAGTCATATCAGGATCTAACTCAGGTTGAGATACAGGAGTAGGAGAAGAGGTGGGGAGTTTGAGCCCTGGACAAAGATGGCTCTAGTAAATCCATAATCTGTCACTAGAATTGTAGCATAAATACAAAGAATTCTGTTATTGCTGATAGGCTACATGCTGCGTGCCTGAAACAGAGATATAATTGGACGCAGATGTTAGTTTTAGAGCCAGGTCTTGCTCCAGTGCAAGGGATGCAACTTCACTCTGAGGTTGACTATTGTGCGGGCCTCTGGCAGAGCGATTGTTTTCCTATAATATTGAATTGGCTTCCTTTTGCCTAGTCTTCGCCATAGCTACAAGGGGTATTCCCCTGGGGGGTAATTATGGTGCAGGAAATAGAGTAAGCATGTCCAGAAGGCGTATGCAGCAACTCAGGTGTGGACTGTCCTGCAATGAATCCTCATTGCAAAAGGGCAGGAGAACACACGTGAGTAACGTTTCCACCTGTAGCCCTGATAAGGTAAAGTGTGTGACTAGTGGCATGATATAAAACCTGGTAATTTACCTGAGACTGAGCTCTAAGTGGATTCAATGCTGGCATCAAGTTTGAAAAGTTTGCACTGTGAAGTGAAAACATTCTAAACATAGCCCTTTTTTTAAAGTCAAGGTCAGAAATACAAGGTGACCCTGTATTACCTGTTCAAGATACTGGAGTACAATTAAAGTCCAGGTGCCACCCATCACCATGAGCATACCCCTATACTATGTCTTCATATTTAGATGTATGGTTTTACAGGCAGCAGTTATTCAGTCACAGAGATCTGATGTTCTTTTCCTTGCTGAATGCTTTGACTAAAATAAATTTTTGTACTTTGTGCAAAATCCTTTTCTTTGACAGTTCATTGACGGACACAGCCCATTACTTACGTAAGAGGAGTTTTTATCTTATGTTTTCCTAATTACATTTGGCCACTTCTTGCTGCTCTTGAGCTTCGTTAGTGTGCAGTAGTTTAGCCACTAGCAGGAGCTATTCCTTTGGGTATACACCCTGCCTCCAGGAGGTTGCACATTAGGCAACTCAGAGGTCAGATGCTGTCCCCCCCCCAATAAACTACCAGAGCAAAGATTTTCAAGCAAGTGCAAAAATCCATTTTATTTCCTGTCCTGTGTGCCCGAACTGCCAATGCTATTTGACTTCTGTATTGCAATTTTAAAGTTTTGTATTTTATGTTTGTATATCTACTTTCCAGAAAGAGGATCAAACCCTATTTAAAAATGGCATATAGATATATATGTATTTTCCATTAATATTCACCTCTTTTTACACAGCATGCTGACAGAGTGGATGGAAAAACTGTAATTTTTCCTTTCACTGCGCTTGTAAAATGAACACAGACGTTCCAGAAGACTACAAAGTTTTTTGGCATGCAGCTTGGATCCCGCAATTGTAGCGTTTTGATAATTCTACTAATTACATGCAATAGATTCTCCTGGAGTGGTGTTCATGTTAATGAGTTTGGCTTGGGAGAAGGTATGAATGATATATTGTGACATGCATATTTTCCCTCTGCTGCCAGCTAAGCGAAGCTGTCATGTTTGGTGCCAAGTAACAAAGGTATAAGTGATGCTGTGCTTGATCGCGGCTCCAATTACAGCAGCAGAACAATAACGCACACCCTTCTGTGGCTGTAACCTACAATTACACAGTCATGAACTTAACTTTGAAAGGACTGTCCAATCAAACCCTAAAGAGACTTGAAATTACCATGTGCTGATGTATTCAACCACTACAGATACCTTAAATTAGCATGTTCAAAGGAAACTCACTATGTGAACTCTTTAAA